ACATATCTTAGTAAGCAGTGTTAATCCCTTAAGCAAAATACCAGACCCTTAACTGATTATAACACAAAGATAGGTATGAAACCCTTGTATCTGTGTTTGTACTGCAATAATCCTTCCTGGGAAAAGCAAGCTAACTTTTATACTGAAGTCATTCTTACTTTGGACTTCAGAAATTAAACGTGAAAAACTGTTTAAAACTGTCTTTTTCATCTTTTCCAGGTATGTGATATTTCTATATTTTCTAATGTACAAATTAGAATAATTCAACTAAATATGATATTTAATTTTCTAAATATTTGTACTTTGTTTATAAAATCATTATGTAATTTTTATCATCTGAATTTTTGCAACTGTGTTATATTTTAATTTCTACTTTTGCAATTATTATGTTGTATTTTTTATTAGTATGCATTCTCAAATGTTTCATATTTAATGAAAATGGTAAAGGAAAATAAATGAAACCATTGCTTACCATAGTATTAAACAATCTTATAACTACTTGAATTCCTGGCAATGGACCTTAATTATAAATTATCTCCATTAAGTTCTTATAGCAAACTATCATGTTTTCTTCAGGAAACCTGCAGTGGAAAAATAACTATTCTAGATGTCGCTTGATTTTTCTTTTTTGATAACAATCTAATATTAAGTAAAAGATGGAACATTGCATATGACTTTAAAGCTTCCGTGAGTGCAGTAACTACGTTTTCATTATTTGAACTCCCTATAGAAAGTAGTATTCAGCAAAATCCATTTCATTTTTCTACTTATGGCTAACTGAATTTGAAATGATAAATTTGTGATAAAAAATATGGATGGTGCTTTTAAAAATGAAAAAAAGTGTTTGAAGAACAGTTGATAAAAAATGGTCACGTATCAGATGACGTGGACAATATTAAAACCGGAGAATTCATTATTGAAAATAAAACTAAACATACATCTGAAGGTGGGGTTTCTTTTAAACCTATACAGTAAGCCTTATTTAGATGGTCAGTCAAAATTTGAAGGAAAATATGAAACTTATTTAATTGACCCTTTTTTTCAAAATCCTTGTTCTTTTTAAGCAGTGGCACAGGTTTTTGATCAAATTATTAAAACAAATGAAGGAAAAATGGAATGAATTGTTATGTGATGGGATTGATCACCTCACATACTTTGTTCAAAATTGTTTGAAAACCAATGTCTTTTCATTATGTAACACATAATCCAAATCTAAGAAAAAAATTAACAATCATATACCAATTCATGGTATTGACATAAATATTAATAATTGTACATAATACGGAAGAATCTTACTTATTTCAGGCATGGGACATAAAATACAAACGCTTTTTTTCTAGTTGATGTGGACTACATGTTTATCAGCAATAACAAAGTTAATGGATCTCCAAGTGTTACAAGAATTTTGAAAACGCTCTAATCTTTAAACATCTTGGCAGCTTTTGAATAAACTGAATGGAAATGCAACAGAACTAGTCCTTCAATATGCAAGACAATGTATCATCAATACAGAATCTCAAAATTTAAAATCATTTTTGAATTTATCCAACCATGTGGCGCAAATTATATATTTTTGTTGAAATGTACCTTTATAAATTTATCTTATTTGCAATAAAGAAATAAAGATCAGGTGTTAGAAATTGTAATCATGACGTATAAACCAGCAATCAAAGTTATTTTACGGGTTTAATATGTTTTACATATATGGAAATCCATGCTAGGAGGAGAATTGTACAACAACAATTGCCCGAATTATTTAAAAAGTCTGTATGAACGTTTGTGTTGTATATCAAGAACTGACCAAGACGGGAAAGCAAAAGGAGGGGATTTTATTTTAAATATGGTGACACTATCGTGTCCCTTCTTATTGTTTCTTGTCTACGGCAAGTGTCCTCCGTTCAAATTTATTTTTATTATGCCCCTTCCCCGACCCTCTATTCCCCTTCCCATACAACCATTTACGCTTGTAGGCTATTAATTAATGGTCTTTTTTTATTTCCTCGTCGATTTCTATTATTTTCAATAATGTTATTGTGTTATCCGAGCCTGCAACAATTGCAATTTTGGGATTTTGTTTTTCTCTATGCAATGGTCGATGTCAGTGTTGTTTGTGCCGTGCGGCGGCTGTAAAAGTCTCCCCGTACATTTATATACAGAAAATTACCGTTGCACGAACTTATCGTGATTTACTTATTTCGGATAGTCACCGTTGCACGAGCTTATCGTGAATAAGTTAATATAGAGTCACTGAGTTGCACGCAGAAAGTCACAGTTGCACTAACTTATCTTGAATTACTTTAAACAGATATTCCACGGACTTCACGTGAATGCCTTGGACTTCAATTGAATGTCTTATACAGTTCACTGTTGCTTCTTCTTTTTAAAATAATTTTACATCCAGTAACTGAACATTTAAAGACATGTCTATTTGGATCAAGATTTACCTTTTCATGCTTTTTCAGCGATTTCTGGCTGGCATTAGACCTACGACAAAGTCCGCAAATATACATTTCTTTACTTAAATATACCGAGTTACTTATCTTATGGTAACTTGCAATTTCCATTACCGTCCATTAACAGGCTCAATCAAACCGAGCCTGCAACATTTTACAATTTTGCCGTGTTGGGATTTCTTTAGGGATTCTGTTTTTCACTATTTGACTGACTGCTTATTCAACTCATATAGGTTAGGTAATATATATCTTTGTGAACATAAAGTTACCATTGCACGAACGTTTAATTAGTTTATACAGGTAGTTACTGTTACTGTTGCACGAATTTATCATGAATTAGATAATACAGATAGTCACAGTTGCACGAACTAAATTGTGAACAAAAAAAAACATTGAAATGTCAGGATACAGATGACAGTCTTAATAAACAGCAGTATCTACCAATATGCAAGGATATCTCTGAACTCTGAAATGGACTTATAAACAGATATCAACAGTTCTGACATCGATAACATTGATATTGATCAAACAGATAATATCCCAATCAATAATTTGATTGATAATAATCACATTGTTTCCATGAAGTGTAATGATAGCATTGGACACTTATGATTTTCTTTATTTAAATAGTGGATTAATAGCTTCCAATAGTTCTGTTTGTTTGTTTGGATTTTTACGGCACGTCAACACAGAACTGGCCATATCGTGCCGAATGCTATAATAGGCTTAAAACATTACGTAAAACATTGTAAATGACAATAGAAATGAGCCAATTAGATCCTAGAATACAAATTTATCTCTTTTAAATAATCAATTATGTTTTTTGATGGAATTGTATTAAAAAGTTCTTTGAGTGAATTTACAGAATAAAATCTATTACGGGCCTGTGAAAAATCATGACATTCAAGAAGAAAATGCTTGACAGTAAAATTTGCATTACAACCTACACAGAAAGGGGCATTGTCATTTGTGAGGAGATAAGAGTGGGTAATTTTAGTGTGTCCAATTCGGCATCGAAGAAGAACTGTTTGATCACGGCGGTTTGACAGAGATAGAGATGGTGACATATCAAGAGATGGGTTTATATCGTGACGTTTATTAAAAACGGCATTGTCCCAATTTGCTTTCCATTCAGATGATACGAGTTTATTTATAGCTGGTCTAAAATCACAAGCAGGTAACAATAAGTCAGTTTTTTGAAAATTTAATGATTGTTTAGCTAAAACATCTACTTTTTCATTTCCTCGTATTCCTACATGGCTTGGAATCCAATATAATTTAACATATTTTGTTTTTAGTATATTATGAAGTCGTAAATAGTTCTGAACAAGATACTGTTGACAATGTTACACATGCACCAGCTACAAATCTGAATGATGATAAATCTACCTTGGATGCAGCTGCTGGTAATATTGTTTTCCGGTCTTATATATATCTGATAATTCATAAATTGAAATAAACGATTATAGAAACAAACCGTCATATTCTAAATAGAACAAACGGTCATATTCTAATAACTAATAGTAAATTGCACTTTCTAGTACCGTCAATGAACAGACTCAACCAAACCGAGTCTGCAACATTTTACAATTTTGTTGTGTTAAGCTTTCTATAGGGATTCTGTTTTACTCTATTCTATTGCTGTAAGTCCAAAATAACAATATTTTAATGTTCTGTATGTCCAAATTGTTTCTAAGCCAAAATACTATATTCTTTCAATAAATGTACCTTCCTTATATACTGCTTTATAAAGAGCGGGAAAATGTCACGTCTTTAAAATGTCGTCGATACTAGTAAATCACCATTTTGTAGGTACCGTTTGCTGTTGAGAACCGTCAAGTATATTAGCCACCGTTCAATTTTATTCAACAACGGTGCACCATATTGTTCACCGTTCTATTTTTAAATAGATACACATACTTAAATGATACATTATCTTTAAACACCAAAACCGTTAACACATTATAATATCTTTAAAAAAATCATATACAAAACATTCTTCTTTCACATTTAGTTATTTTAATGCTAAGTTTTGTTTCAATAATAGTTTATTTCTATTTATGACTTCCTTAGATGTTTGTCTATGTTATTTTATACTGTTTTGGTGACACTTTAGCTTGCGTCTCTTGTTGTTTCTCGTCTACGGTAAGTATCTTCCCCTTTGTCCCTAGTTTTTATTTATTTTATTAATTACCCCCCCCCCTTCCCCGTGTCTCATGTCCCCTTCCCCTGTGCCTTTTGACTTTATGGGCCTAATATTAAATCATTTATTTGTTTTCGTTTAGTTCCTTATCAGTTACTAATTATTTATTCTTATGTAGTGGTTTGCCTGCCCGTGCTCTGCCTTATGCCCTGTCCTATTTTTCTTTGGGATCCTCCTGGGCTCCTTGCCGCTGGCGCTTCTTGCTGGGTCGGGTGGGGGCTGCGTTCATTGAACGCCGCCTTTCCTTGTCGATCTTGTTTATCATATTTTATCAGATAAATAAACATGATCATAAGTAGGTGAAATTTGTTTTGTGTTATAATATTTTGTTAAAGTTATCAAACGTTTGTAGCAGGTAAATGTATCCCTTATCAATGAAAAGGTTAACCAACATGCTGCGGCCAAAGTTTTCAGAGGAGGGAAGTAATGCCAACCGTTTTGAAAAGGAGGTCTATCAGATGTTCATAAAGTATCTTAGAGAGTTGTCAGGTAAAGACTAACTTTTGGCAAAGGTATTTCTCCAAAATACAAATAAAATTAAACTAGGAACAAAATATTTATTATATTTTCATTTTATTACATTTTGACAATTGTATGTATGCACCCTTAAGAATGATAGGAGCGCCATGAATTGTGCATAATATGTCCATAAATAGAGAGTTTTTAAATTGATCACTAGAAAGTAAAAATCAATTAGTAATATTCAAGTAACTGATAAATTTCTCAACAAAGTAATCTGGATGAAATCATTTAAAGATCTACATACTGAAGTAATTGATAATTTATATAGATAAGTCTTAGAGCAAATGTTTAAACCTTTTTATGAAGTCAGTCAAAAATATGTCCAAATTAGACCCTGTAAAACATTTCAGCAGTAATCATTGGTAGGGACTTTCTGCCCCTCGAATGTCTGATGTGACATTTTAGCAAATTAGTAAACTTACAACATATTAATTAACTTTACAATATTTTATTCCTACCTTGAAACCTTTTAAGTTCTCTTGACTGAATCTAGAATTAAGTTATGTGTCTTGAAGTAAATTTGTGTTACTGAAATTTTTTTATTATATCTTAAGCTGGAAGAAGAGGAAGCATTACTCTTGGCAGTGTCCTCATATTTGTGACTTCAACTGATGAAGAGCCAGCACTGGGATTCAAGCTGCCACCAACTCTAGTGTTTGAAGAAGTTGAAGAGAAAAAATTTCTTCCTAAGTCAAGCACATGCATTAACCAACTAACATTACCCCGTGCAAATGAGACAGAACCACTGCCGTCACAAGAATTACTTTTCAATTTATATGATTATGCTTTTGCAAATGCACATTACGGTCTTGCCTAGACACATATATATGATTTTTAAAACCTGAACTTTGAAGTAGCTATTGTTTTGTGAGCAAAAGGCTCATAGTGAGCTATTGCGACCACTTGATTTCTGTTGTCTGTCATCAATTATTGAAACACATCTCGCTCCCCAGAACCACAATACATATAGCTTAGATATTTTCCATGTTCTTCAACCAGCAGAGCTCGCTTTTTGTTTTATTGTCATTTAATTTTGGAAATGTTTTAACGTTTTGTTTCAAAAGATTATATAGGGCAAGAGATATTTTCAAGATTAATATATTTAAGTTTTTTTCTTTAAATACTTTATTTGACCATATTTTGTTTCACTAAATATTTTGTTTATATTCATTGTTAGCATACCTGAGTAAAACTCGGGATTATTTGATATTCTACTATTTTGTCCTGCATCTTTCTGTCCATCTGTTAACTATTACTTAAATGGTATCTTCCTTAAAACCTAGGTGTTAAATTTCAAAAACTTTCACAGTAATGATCCTTAGATGGTCTTCTATGATATTTGTGCCCCCACGTTAGTGGCGGGCATTTAGATTTACCCTTGTCCGTCCGTCCTTCCGTCCGTCCGTTCTCTTTTGTGTCGCACGTCACTCAAAAAGTATTTGACCTAGAGTCATGAAACTTTACAGGAATGTTGATCAGCATGTGTAGTTGTGCACCTGGTTATTTTTGTCTGGATATTATCAGTATTTTCAGAGTTATTGCCCTTGACTTAGTTAAATTTTGCAATTTTCAACTTGTGTCGCATGTAACTCAGAAAGTATTTGACCTAGAGTCATGAAACTGTACAGGAATGTTGATCAGCATGTGTAGTTGTGCACCTGGGTATTTTCGTCTGGATATTATTAGTATTTTCAGAGTTATTGCCCTTGACTTAGTTAAATTTTGCAATTTTCAACTTGTGTCGCATGTAACTCAAAAAGTATTTGACCTAGAGTCATGAAACTTTACAGGAATGTTGATCAGCATGTGTAGTTGTGCACCTGGGTATTTTCGTCTGGATATTATAAGTATTTTCAGAGTGATTGCCCTTGACTTAGTAAAATTTTGCAATTTTCAACTTGTGTCGCATGTAACTCAATAAATTTTTGCTCTAGAGTCATGAAACTTTACAGGAATGTTGATCAGCATGTGTAGTTGTGCACCTGGGTATTTTTGTCTGGATATTTTAAGTATTTTCAGAGTTATTGCCCTTGACTTAGTAAAATTTTGCAATTTTCAACTTGTGTGGCATGTAACTCAAAAAGTATTTGACCTAGAGTCATTAAACTTTACAGGAATGTTGATCAGCATGTGTAGTTGTGCACCTGGGTATTTTCGTCTGGATATTATCAGTATTTTCAGAGTTATTGCCCTTGACTTAGTAAAATTTTGCAATTTTCAACTTGTGTGGCATGTAACTCAAAAAGTATTTGACCTAGAGTCATTAAACTTTACAGGAATGTTGATCAGCATGTTTAGTTGTGCACCTGGGTATTTTCGTTTGGATATTATTAGTATTTTCAGACTTATTGCCCTTGACTTAGTTAAATTTTGCAATTTTCAACTTGTGTCGCATGTAACTCAAAAAGTATTTGACCTAGAGTCATGAAACTTTACAGGAATGTTGATCAGCATGTGTAGTTGTGCACCTGGTTATTTTCGTCTGGATATTATTAGTATTTTCAGAGTGATTGCCCTTGACTTAGTTAAATTTTGCAATTTTCAACTTGTGTCGCATGTAACTCAATAAATTTTTGCTCTAGAGTCATGAAACTTTACAGGAATGTTGATCAGCATGTGTAGTTGTGCACCTGGGTATTTTTGTCTGGATATTTTAAGTATTTTCAGAGTTATTGCCCTTGACTTAGTAAAATTTTGCAATTTTCAACTTGTGTGGCATGTAACTCAAAAAGTATTTGACCTAGAGTCATTAAACTTTACAGGAATGTTGATCAGCATGTTTAGTTGTGCACCTGGGTATTTTCGTTTGGAAATTTTCATTATTTTCAGAGTTATTGCCTTTGACTTAGTAAAATTTGGCAATTTTCAACTTGTGTGGCATGTAACTCAAAAAGTATTTGACCAAGAGTCATGAAACTTTACAGGAAGGTTGATCAGCATGTGTAGTTGTGCACCTGGTTATTTTTGTGTGGATATATTTAGAATTTTAGAGTTATTGCCCTTGACTTTTTAAAAATTTGCAATTTTCAACTTGTGATGCATGTAACTCAAAAAGTATTTGACCTAGAGTCATGAAACTTTACAGGAATGTTGATCAGCATGTGTAGTTGTGCACCTGGGTATTTTCGTCTGGATATTTTTAGTATTTTCAGAGTTATTGCCCATGACTTAGAAAAATTTTGCAATTTTCAACATGTGTCGCAGGTAACTCAAAAAGTATTTGACCTAGAGTCATGTAACTTTACAGGAATATTGATTAGCATGTGCAGTTATGCACCAGGTATTTTCGTCTGGATTTATTTAGTATTTTAAGAGTTATTGCCCTTCACTTAGAAAATTTTTGCAATTTTCAACTTGTGTCGCAAGTTTCTCAAAAAGGATTTGACATAGTCATTTATCCTTATAGGCAGGTTGCTCAGCATATTTTAGATTTGCACCTTGGGTTTTGCTTGTGGATTTATCCAGTATTTGTAGAGTAATTTCCCTTGACTTAGTAAAAAGATTGGCAGAACAGTGGCGCGGTGGGGGCACCCGTATCCTATGGACACATTTCTAGTTATTTATTCAGTTATTCTGTCATCATCAGTTTCAGTGCATTATCTTGGCAACAGTTGCACACATTCACCTCAAATTTGACATTTGGGTATATAGGGTCACATTCAAATTTGAGACTGGTGCAATGATTTTTGACAAAGTTATATGCCCCTTGACAAATTTTTAAGTTTCCGCACATTATCTACACAACAGTTGTACACATTTTAGTTAAATTTGACATATGCATACGTAATGCACAGGTCCAGATTGAATGTTGGTTATAGTAAGATTATATTTGGAAGAGTTATGCTTCTTTTACTTTGGTAAAAAAATAATTCATTTTCGATTCATTATCTCCCAGCAGTTGTTCACTTTCAATTTCAATATATGTATAACCGGAAAATACAAGTCAAAGAAAAAATCTGGAAACAAAGTGATCCCTCGGAAGCATAAATCACAACAAAATTACATAAGAATCGCAGACTCGGTTTGATTGAGTCTGTACATGAGGAATTATGAATAAGTGCAACATCCCTCACGCCCCCTAGCACCGGCTTGAGCGGTACTCAATTCTCAACACTAAATAGTGCTGGCATCAATGATCCCGAAGGACCAGAAAAACATAACAACACTGAAGTGAAGTACGGGGCAACTTTTTACAGCTGCCACACAGCACTTGACACCTGCTGTTGTGCAGTATAAAAATCTGGAAACAAAGTGATCCCTCGGAAGCATTAATAACAACAAAATTACATAAGAATTGCAGACTTGGTTTGATTGAGTATGTACAAGTTCAAATTTGGTTTTGCTCCAAAGATTTTTGACAGAGTTATCCTTCTTGAACTTAGAAAAAATAAATTTTCAGTTTCGGCTCTAACTTTTGTAGGAATGTATGTCCGAGGTTGACATTGCATGTGGTGGTATTTTACCAGAAAATACAAGTCAAGTTCTAATTTGGTCATGGTCAGATGTTTTTGACATTAATCCCCATTTAAATTGAAAAAGATCTAAAAATTCACAATATCTAATCATAATCTTAGTTACAAATCTGCAAATTGCAAAAGGGTCACACTTAACAGTTTCAGGGCCTTGAACTTTGTAAAAAAAGGTTTTTGTTAACGTTGAATAGTTTCAGGGCCTTATACTTAGAATGAAAAAATGGTTTGTGCAAACAAAGCACGAGGGCTTTTGGGCAAAATAAATGCTGCAAAAGCGACTCGAAGATTGGAGATCGGTTGGCTTTACCAGTATGCTGATAGACTAATTCATAAACGGGTCTGGATGTGAAAGACATGTACCGTTAAAGATGCCCTTATCGCTCCTGTTGAAACATTCTTTCCCGATGAAAACTCAAAACATGGGTTCCTTGTTTGACTTGGTGGCTGAAATGAGAGCCTTTAAAGGGGAATACATTAAGAGTATAGTAAAACAGTAGAAACGGTATACAAGGAAGCCAAGATGAGAATGCTTATTGTACGTAAACACATCATACAAAGCTCAAAGAACAAAGGTTAAAATTTACTTTGACCTGTTAATCATAGAGATAGAACTCCTTTAACAAAAAAAATTGAGACACCAACTGCCTGAAGCAGTGAAATGGAATCTAGAAATATTTCTTTACTATACAAAAAGTGCATGTCTAGTGAGTTTTGGGGTTAGGATCTTATTTTAGTATGTCAAACGAAAAACAATTTGCAGATGTGGTTACTGTTAAGATACAAATCACAAAGTGTAATAGTAAAAGTATTCTAACTTGACAAAATAATTAAGCATTTACTGTATTACATAGACTTTCCAACAGGAGTTATTACCCTTTTCATTTAACTATGATTTAAAGGAATGTCATGGCCTGGGGAATTGTAGCTCTAGAGGCCACTAAAAGGGGCCAATCAAATTAAAATGTGCAAATATGATAAAAGGCTACCTAAAAATGCTACAGACAAAGTTTGGCGATCATCCATCAATTAGTTCTGTAGAAAAAGATGTCTTAATATTTTCAATTGTGCCGTGTTGGGCTTTCTTTAGGGATTCTGTTTTTCTCTATTTTAAGGTTTTTCATTTTTTTTTGCTATAGAGACACAGCTCAAGTGAATATGAGCAAAATTAATAAATGGCTTCCTAAGAATACTACAGACAAAGTTTGGTGATCATCCATTAATTAGTTCTGTAGAAGATGATGTCCCATTGTGTGTTCATATTTAGCTCTAGTGACCCCTTAGCCCTAAAAGGGGCCAATCAAATAAATTTAAACAAATTTCATAACAGACTAACAAAGAATGCTACAGACAAAGTTAAGTGACCAACCATCAAATAATTTAGTAGTAGAAGAAAACATATAAAGAAACGTGTTATGCCATACGCAGGCTTCATAACCTCTGATCCCCTTTCAAAATTCCATTTTATTTAGTTCCGCCCATTGTTTTCTCGTTTAGGGCACACGCTTTTTACTACTTGGGGATCATACGCCGCTTTTCATGGAATGGCACGAGTGTCACATTGAAGGTTCC